GCTTAACAAGCATTTCGCTAATATGATAACCAATTGCCTTGTGCACTCTATTTTGCGCAGGACCAAAATATGAACAGGTCTAAACCAACTACCTTGGTATCACCGTAGGCGAAAATATGCACTTCAGTGCAGACCGAAAGTGCCACCGTGAAGTTATTCTTGACACTTCAAACCTCATTACAGTCGTCAGAGAAATCAGGGTGTCATTTCTTAGACGCTGTATGCCATTTTTGATTGCACATGCTTAGCCAGATGCTCCATCGCCCTTCGTAAAGTAATCTTCTGCCTACTTCGATCGGTTCTTCAAATTGTCCGCAGATCAGGTGACCTTTTCTACATGGATTTCTAAGTATCGTCGTAGATCAGATTGTACCATGTCCTGAACCATGAACCTTTAAGACGTACTTCAAGGTCTCACTCATTGACTTCAAGATACACCTGCATGCACGCAATGATTAAAAGATACAGAAAATACGTAATTCTGCAGATGTCAGGATGTTGAATGAACAGCGGGAAAGGCCGATAGTTCTCGAGGCTGTATTGCGAAGCTAATCGAACACGCATATATTAATCTATATCTTTCTACCCATCAATCCGTTTCCCTTTCATTATTGTTTGTTCCTGATCGAATTATTCTTCAAAACGTCCCCGGCACCGAAAGAGAGCTCGTCATACAAAAACAGGAATATATTTCTACCAGGCTTGACCCTATCAAGATGGCTCATCAATATGCCAAGAAAGTTAGTTCGTAGTGAATCTTGCTTCAGATTTAACATTAATTGCGCACTTCCTGAATCCGAACTAAGCCACTTAAATAACAAAGATAGAAAAGTTTATTTATATTTGGTGAGTTTTACAAATGGTATCAAAAGCAAGTCCCTGGATCCCATGGAAACTTCTATCGAAGAACCGCCTGCCACTTTGAATTTTTTATCAATTACGTCCTTGATGCGAATTTTGTTTTTTGTGCATTATATATATGCTGTTACTTCAATGAACCAGTAATTACTGAAATGTTAGCATGTGCCACTTTTAAGTCCTATTTCTGCAAATTTAAGCAATGAACTCCTTTGATTGATTGATACTACCCATGAGTAGTCTTCTAATTTTTTTAGGAATAACTTATCATAAAGGTGTGTGAAAAATGTGCTTAAAACTCCTTCAAGACTAATATGCAGAAAGTTTCAACAATATCATTATGATCGCAATGGTGCTGTTGTAATTCCATTATCTATTATATTCCATGATTTACTGTATCAGTCTAATCATGATATAGGATATGTACTTAATGATCTTTAATACGAAAGTACACATAGTTAATACAGTAAAAATCGGACCTTTTCCGTGTCCTTGTTCGCACCTATTGCAATAATGTATGTAGGATAGATCTAACAAAAGTTATTCTGTTTATCGCAGGAATTTGGTTATGCCTTAGCCTGTAGTTACTGTACTGTGATATGACTTTTGTGTTTCGTTAAGTTTAACCATGAAAAGGCGTTATAAAGCTAATGGCGAAAGGTAAGCACAATTTTGGCCCTTGCAATATCAGAATTGAGATTCAAAGCTTGAGCTTGTAAAATTTAAATTGTCTTGTAATTTCAGTCAATTATTATGTACAAGAAATTTATTTACAGCTGTTAACGGAACCTTTTTAAATTTGCCTCGTATGCGTTCAAGAACGTTGAAGTAGCATTGTTCCGTTTACCTAGAGCTAGATTTGCTTTCGAAGAAGAATAGTTCCTTCTGCGATGCGGTAACCGATGCTTTGTAGTAAAACGGCTGAAGAGCTGTAGATACAGCGGATATTAGAAAGGCGTTCTCTTTAGGCCTAAAGTTCGAGGTGATGATCTCTACAAACTACGTACCGAATAGGCTGTTGTTTTTAGGTGTGCATTTTGCTATATTCCTTTATGCGGAAGTTAATTTTTTTCTATGCACAAATTTCGTTTCTATTTTTCTGTAAGTTTCTATTTCTTTAAGTCTCTTCTCTAAATTTTTCCCTTTGTGAATCGGTTGCGCTGGAAGAAAATTCCACCTATACTTCGTTTGCTCTATTTTATGATCCATCACATGGAGCTGTTCGATGAATAGTGACATTGCATATCACAAACATTGTCCGGTTT